ACTCAAATCAAACTGCAGGAATGGAACATCTTTTTTTTTACACTTAAGCCAAAGAAGATGTTTTTAGACTTAGGTACCCTCTCAGTCTACCTAGACAACTAACTCAAATAACTTCAACAGAAGCAAATCAATGCTCAGTCTTTGCTGTGTGTGGCTTCTCGATGCCATTCCTTTTGCTCAAAAAAGAAACTATTTTATAACAAAATTACAAAGAATATACTACTTCCTTAAAAATAGGTCTACAATGACAATAGAAAAATAAAAGTTATATCTTTACAATATAATTAAGTTGTATCATATTTTAGAAACTCTGGGCTACCAATCTTTTTCTACCAATTTTGGAGTTAAAAAAACAAACAAAAAAAAGGTCCTATTTAGCACATTCATATTCAGCCAACTTCTGGTTGTCACTCCCTACCCCTGCCCACACATCCCTTGCTTAACAGATGAGACTGTGTGCAGTGATGGGCAACTGTGTTTCAGGGAAGATAAACAAGTGGGCTCCCCCACCACAGCCCCAGCGGTCAAGCTCTATCCATCGAAACCTGTACTGGTGCTTTTATTCCCTTTGATTTTGACATGGGCAGAAGAGTAGGGCAATTCCAGCCAACAAACACAATCAGGGATCTGTCAGGAGGTTATTAGGAAAAATGTATTTGCTTTTAAAAAGAGCCACAAAAAGAAGACAAAGGCCCTGTTCCCCTTCCTTTGTGCAAGGATGTGGCTCTGAAAGAAAAGGACAAGCTAGAGCACAGAGCTAAGGTGGCCTTCAGGAAGGCTCCCTGAAAAAATGTGAGTGAAGTTGCTAAGCTACAGACTTAACCCCCACATCTTCCCTAGCTCCAGACTTCCTGCTACATATATGCCAAACATTTCCTCATTCTAGATTCCAGGTCATCTGCCACCGGTCCTATTATATTAATACATTGAGTATTTCTAGGTACCAGGCCTGATTCTAAGCCTTTGGCGGGTATTGTATCACTTTACATAGCAATCCCTGAGACAAGGTCTACAAGTATCCCTATTTGCTGGATGAGTAAACTGATGTATGGACAAGTAGAGTAATGTGCCCAATCTCATATACGGTAAACAGCTAGTAACCAGTCAGTCTGACTCCTGGGCCCATGAGAAACTACCTAAATCTTAAAAACATTCATTTCAAAGTAATAATAAGATACCAATATCAATTAGTTTAAAAATCTGTATCATGTTGAGAAAATTATGTTTCCTTCAAGGAACTGCCATGGTTGTTTTATTATTTAAAATTATTTCCATCACACAATGTTTGTGTGCTAACACTTAATATATGATAAAATTAGGACATTTCCTGTGCCATCTGGGTGGGCAAGGCAAGCTGTCCCTTTTTATTATTTCATATTTGAATACCCTACATCCACAAAGTTATTTTAGGATCTTTATACCATAAAACATAGGTTGAGATGAAATATGTAAAACATTTATGATTTTATTCTATAGCTATCATTAATCTAAATTGAAAAACAATTTATTCCAGTATTTAGTCAACAAAATTACTAATAATTTTTTTTTTTTTTTTTTTTGAGACGGAGTCTTGCTCTGTCACCCAGGCTGGAGTGCAGTGACCGGATCTCAGCTCACTGCAAGCTCCGCCTCCCGGGTTCACGCCATTCTCCTGCCTCAGCCTCCCGAGTAGCTGGGACTACAGGCGCCGCCACCTCGCCCGGCTAGTTTTTTGTATTTTTAGTAGAGACGGGGTTTCACCGTGTTTGCCAGGATGGTCTCGATCTCCTGACCTCGTGATCCGCCCATCTCGGCCTCCCAAAGTGCTGGGATTAGAGGCTTGAGCCACCGCGCCCGGCCATAATTTTTAAAATTACTAAAGTAACTAAACTTTCTTTGAGCACTCACCTTGTTTTCCATCCACATAAACTTTTTAAAGAAAATAAGTTGGCTGGGTGCGGTGGCTCAGACCTGTAATCCCAGCACTTTGGGAGGCCGAGGCAGGTGGATCGCCTGAGGTCAGGAGTTCGAGACCAGCCTGGCCAACATGGTGAAACCCTGTCTCTACTAAAAATACAAAAACAAGCTGGGCATGGTTTTTGTACAGGCATGTGCCTATAATCCCAGCTACTCGGGAGGCTGAGGCAGGAGAATCACTTGAACCGGGGAGGTGGAAGTTGCAGTGAGCCACAATCGTGCCACTGCACTCCAGCCTGGGCAACAGAGTGAGTCTCCGTCTCAAAAAAGAAAAAAAACGAAAAAGAAAATAAGTGACCAACTAAACAAACATGTGGCTTTTTATCAAAAGCACTGAAAAATGCTCGATATCACTCATCACCAGGGAAATGTAAATCAAAAGCAAAGTAGGACATCACCTCATACTGTTAGGATGGCTGTTATCACAACACCAAAATATGGCCAGGTACAGTGACTCACGCCTGAATTCAGCACTTTGGGAGGCGGAGGCGGGTGTCTCACTTGAGGTCAGCAGTTTGAGGCCACCCTGGCCAACATGGTGAAACCCCATCTGTACTAAAAATACAAAAAATTAACTGGGCATGGTGGTGTGTGCCTGTAATCCCAGTTACTTTGGAGACTGAGACAGGAGAACTGCTTGAACCCAGGAGGTAGAAGTTGCAGTGAGCCGAGATTGCGCCACTGCACTCCAGCCTGGGCAACAGAGCAAGACTCTGTTCCAAAAAAAAAAAAGGCCGGGCACCGTGGCTCATGCCTGTAATCCCAGCACTTTGAGAGGCCGAGGTGGGCAGATCACGAGGTCAACAGATCGAGACCAGTTTAAGCCACATGGTGAAACCCCGTCTCTACTAAAAATACAAAAAAATTTAGCCAGGCGTGGTGGTGGGCACCTGTAATCCCAGCTACCCAGGAGGCTGAGGCAGAAGAATTGCTTGAACCCAGGAGGCAGAGGTTGCGATGAACCGAGATCGTACCACCGCACTCCAGTCTGGGCGACAGAGCAAGACTCCATCTCAAAAAAATAGAAAAAAGAAAGAAGAAAAGAAAAAAAAAAAAGTCAAAATATAGTGATAGCAAGGATGCGAAGAGAAGGAAACCCTGGTATACTGCTGGTGGTAATGTAAATTGGGACAGCCTCTATGAAACAGTATGAAGTCTCCTCAAAAATAGAACTACCATATGATCCAGCAATTCCGCTTCTGCATATATATCCATAATAAATAAAATCACTATATCAAAGACATATTTGCAATTCCATGTACACGGAAACATAAATTCACAACAGCCAAGATATGGAAACAACCTAAGTGACCTACAACAGATGAATGGATTAAAAAAAATGTGATATACACTGTGTGTGTGTGTGTCTGTGTGCACATAAATGTATAAAATGGAATATTATTCAGCCTTTCATAAAGAAGGACATTCTGACATTTGTGACAACATGGATGAACCTAAAGGGCATTATGCTAAGAGAAATAAGCCAAACACAGAAAGACAAAATCTGTATGATTTTACTTATAAGTGGAATCTTGGAGGAGAAAGAAAATGAACTTATGCTAATAGAGTAGAATGGCAGTTACCACAGGGAGTGGGGTGTGAAAAAAGGAAAAATATTGGCCATAGGGTAAAAACTTTCAATTGTAAGATGAATGAATTCTGGAGACCTAACATATAGCATGGTGAGTCTAATTAACATATTTTATACTTGAAATTTGCTAAGAGGCTAGGCACAGTGGCTCATGCCTATAACTATGACACTTTGGGAGGCCAAGACAGTAGGACTGCTTGAGGCCAGGAGTTCAAGACCAGCCTGGGTAGCAAAGTGAGACCCTGTCTCCACAAAAAAAAAAAAAAAAAAAAAAAAAAAATTTAATTAGCTGGGCATGGTGGTGTATACCTATAGTCCTAGCTACCAGGGAGGATGAGGTAGGAGGAACACTTGAGCCTAGAAGTTCAAGGCTACAGTGAGCTATGATTGCACCACTGCACTCCAGCCTGGGTGACAGAGCAAGACCCTATCTCAAAAAAATTAAATTAAATTAAATTTTTAAAAATTTGCTAACAGAGTAGATCTCAAGTGTTTTCACCACATATACACACAAAATTATATCTATGTAATGTGATGGATAAATTATCTTGATTGTGTCAATCATTTTACTAATATATACATATATCAAAACCTCACACTGTACTCTTTAAATATATACTATTTTTACTTGTCAATTATACTTCAATAAAGCTGGGAGAAAGCACAATTAAAATTATAAAACACTGGGATTCCCTTCCACCAAAAAAACCCATTGTGAGTCAGTAACAAACAACTAAGGCATTAAAAAAAAAACACTGAAAGAATTAACTCATCAGATACATTCTGAGTCGTCATATGAAAGGAGGACTTTTCTAACAGTGATGCAACAACTTTGTAAACAGTCATTCTTTCCAAGGCAGAAAACAATTATTTCTGAGTGGTAAACAATTCTGATTTCATGAATTGTAGGTGGATGCACTGCACAGTGAAACAGATAACTCTAAAGACTGATAAACCTAAAATAGGTCCTTGAAATTTATGAAGGGATAAGTGCCCAAACATGACAAAATACAGTAATCTAAATTCTAAAACAACACCATAGGATATATTTCTCTTGTACAGTGAAGTTAGATAAAACAGAAAGTTTCAATTTGCATCTTCAGATCCTTTGAATTATTGCCTATCAAAGAAAAGAAGAGTCTTGAAAGTCTACTCACTCACAGCACGATTCACTGCCAAACATCTGCACCTCTGCATTACAAACTCTAAAGCCCTGAACCTTCAGAAACTACTGCAAATATTCATAACTGCTCACAATAAATCTGTGATCAGAGACCAACCAGAAATATCCTGCATTTATGTTAAACTCTGACATAGAGACTGGTACTTAACTAAAATTTGTTAAAATAATTTACTTTTAATCATCACCAATGATTGAGATGGGAGAAATATCTTTGGGGTATGGGACAGGATGTTACAGCAATGACGCACATATAAGGATTTGTCATGTTACCTGTTCTTGTTTCTCCAGCCACTTGCCCACCATTGGGTGACTGGCACTCAGAGACGAGCGAGCATTGTCTCTCTGAAATTGGTTAGACCAGTTACTAGTATCCCGTGGGAGGCTTCTGTAGTTTTCATCTTTCTATTCAAAAAGAAACAAAAAGGCGTCTTGTAAAAAACCAGACCTTGCAAATCAGTAATGCACCTGGTTTTTCAAAAGTAGCAGAAAAATGATTCTACATATTTAAAACATCTTTCCAATCCTATACAAAATAGCTGATTGAGAACATTCCACCCAGATTAGACCTTGGAATTATAACCATGTGCCGAGGACAGGCAAGTCTAATAATTACAGCAGGAAGGGCACACACGGCACACAACAGACACAACACTACACTTTGCACTCCTACCCAAATCAATCACCTAAACCAAGTACGTGCACCGAAAAGTGAACTTCTATATGAGACTTTCACTCTTTCTCAACTGGAGCATTTTCTCTTCTTTCCAGTCTCATAACTAAATTATGAGGTACCATCTTAATTCATTAGAAATGCTAAAAATAAGGAAGACAATAAATTTGCCCTTTCTTCAAAGCCTTATGGTTTTGTGATTTTTGGATAAGAGATTTAGATTATCCAGGTTGTTTCTATTACCTACTTCACAAGTTAGTAGTCAGCATTAATTCAAGTATCAGGGGAAAAAACTGGCCTTTCACAATTATTTGTTACATAATAGATACATAATTGTTCACTGTGACATGAATATGACAAGTGATGTCTTTACATAAATAAATATTTATCAACTAAGTTTTTAATACTCCCCAGAACAACCAAATGCTACTTGATATTTATTTCAAATAAAAAATTATAGTAACTTCCTTTGGCTTATGAGCTGTAAAACTTCCTTTCAATGTTCTAAAAAGAAATGAGAAACCTAGGATAAACTAGGAGCGTCATACTTTTTAGTTCAATGACTAAATCTAAATCATCTCCTACAAGAACAAAGTAAAATATTACTGTTAGTTGGATCCACTTAACTCAGTACACCAAGTTAGAAGAAGTACTAACATATTGTTCTTAGTAACACTGTTAAGAGTAATCTGGCTATAAGTATTACATGTGGGATTGATACTTACTCTTCATGTGCTAAACTATATGAACACTCAATACAAACACAGAAACAAAAAAGTGCAATAGAATAGGTTTGCAGTGTGTATAACTTAGTTATAGATCAGGATACTATTTGCTCTTCCTTCATGAGTTCTATCAGGGAATAAAACTTAAAAATGAATTGATAGTCTTGGGTTTATGTCAATATTGGGACATATGTTCAAACAAAAAGAAACTGATAAACATTTACCAACATAAACTTTGACATGAAACTATAAACTTTAAGAATTAACCTGCAAGAAATAAAATCTTTAAAAACTCACTAGCGAGACGGAACTTTAGCAGCAAGTTTTTTGTTTGTTTGTTTGTTTGTTTTTTAATAGAAATGGCAAGGAGAAGACATGGACAAAAAACTAACTAAGGAAGCAAACTAGAAACTAAAGTTCACCGTATCTCATGATACTAAGAGTCTCTCCTTAAAACTTAAGCTTCAGAAAAAAAGAAATACTGTTTTATATGATAGTCCATAGATACACTGATAAGCTTATTCTGATAAGAATTTTTTATAAATCATAGAAATTCAGATAAGTCATAAAGGGTAAACTTACTAATGACAGAACCTTATTTATTAGTGACAGAACCTTATGTGTCTACAAAGAGGAGGAGGATTTAAAGTACACTGAAATGCAAGTATAATTTTTATGTCAAAAATAAAAATTGAGGCTATCATTGACTAGGGACCAGGCTTTCATACTCATTACCCACCATTTGAGGTGATTATTACACCAACTGCTTACTTAGAAAATGAATAATTAAACCAAAAGTATTTTTAAAAATCTACCCTCTCTTTTCAGTAAGAACTGTATTTCAGAGACATCAACAGTACCAGCTGATGAGGGGAAACTTGTCTTTTCAGAAGAATGCCAAATAATAGAAATAGAACTAACAACAGAATTAGAAACATGACCATTTTCAATTCCTAATGAAATAATTCAGGCAAAGATAACCATACTAAAACCATTATTTTAAGAGTTGATAGATAACTGGATATTTGCACAGTGACAAAATACCACTTGAAAAGAAAACGAGTCTACTTTCGAAATGAAGAGATCAGGCTCCACACAATTGTCACCTTTTGGTGTCTGGAATCCAGTATGCTACTGGTACCCACCCCTCTGCTCCTTCCTGAATCTATGCCACTTTTCCTCTTCCCGTAAATGGTCTTGTTAGCTCTATGAACTGCTGAGTATTACCTCTCTGGACAAGCTCAAAAACCGCACAATTTCACCACATCCCACCCTGACAACTTTTAGGCATAAGTCACAAAAACGAAACTGTTTCCTGAATTCATGATCTCAGTTTCCAACAAGAGGTCCCAAAGATACCTCGAAACTGAGCTCCCTATTTTGCTCAGGCACCATTCCCTAAAATATTTAGAATTAGTTTTACTCTCTTTCCTCCATCTTTGATCTCCACAGCTTCTAGGTCTTATTGATCCAACATTTTTGCTGATTTTGGTCCTCGGCCATAAACCTAGTTCAGGATCAGCTTGTCTCTGACCTGACATTTTAACAGTGGCCTTCTAACTGGACACAGGCTCTAGTCGCAGCCTCTCTAATAATGTTCCGCACCACTTTCTGGCAGAGGAGTTTCCTGAAACGTATGTTGGGTCACATCAAACCTCCAGCAAACACTGTAGGTAGACCAGAGGGAATTTCAGACAATGGTGCTTGCTGTGCCACACAAATTTCTTCACCTTCATTCTTGCTTTCTTTGACACCTGGACTTCCCATATCATTTCTCCTATAGAAATACTGAATATTCTTCAAAGCCCAGTTCAAATGCTACTTTCTAAGAAGTAGTCCCTGATTCTCAATAGAACTAATCATGCCATGCTTTCTGTTACCACTCTGTTCTAATTTTACTTTAATTATGGTTCTAACTTATAATTTAGTTAACTTTAAAAACTGCTATTTCTATTCTTACAGGGAAGCCTGGGGAAATCATCATTCACCTTTAAACCCAAGCACTTAGCACAGTGGCTTACACCAACCTGGGCGACTTTTTCATGAATATTTTTTATGTTGCCTATTTCACATGGTTTCAGAATCCTGGAATTTTAAAAGAATATTTTGATAAGTTGTTTTAAAAATTGTTTAGGGAATACTTCGAAGAGGTATTAAGATAAACTTTAGTAAAATGTATTTTCGGTGAAATGTAATGACTGTATTTTTAGATTTATACTAAAAGATGTATACCACTGTTATATGCCTATTTCAATTTCATGTCACACCTACAGCATATGATGTCTCTGGCAAATGTGATTATTTCCAATTGCATAGAAAAAATAGTACACTGTTTCTCCATGTAAGTCAATTATGACATGCAGTACCTGCAGTACAGCAACATACAATAATCAGATTAAGAGACAGAATGGCTGAAGATGGCAAGGTCTGCGATTTTCCACTACACTTGAAGAATTCCACAATTTTATAATTGTGGAATCAACTTTGAGTTCATGGATAATAAAACTAAAACTGGCGTTCACTCTCATAACAAAGCAATTTTCCTAATTCATGTAAAATCAATAATGAATCCATATATTGACTTATGTATAATGTATGAAAACTGCAGTTACTTACAGCAATCTTGAATGATCAATCAATTGAATAATTTTTAAAATACACTATTAATTCCTATCAACATACTTGTTATATTTCTGACAGCATCATGCAGGTCCTACTAGCATTTCAGTCATGTTCCTTCCTCCCAATCCTGAAATCTGGCCACAAATCTAGTTCACCATCTACTGCATACAATGTGTATCAAGTGCATACAAGGACTGTAGGCCTGTAAAGCTGTGTGTCTGTATTTATGATAAACATCGCAGCATACAATGTATTAAATATTTTCTACAACACAATTTATACTAGATACCACTGTCCATTGAAATATACATCATGCACTCTATTTTCAATTTGAAAATATTTGCTTTAGTGTAAATAATTGTTAAAATATGGCAGTCGTAACTAGTCTATTCAAGACTATATACACTCACTTATGAATCAAATTATAACTATAAACCAAAAATTTTAAATTAAATATACACAATTCTAATGATTATAAAACTTACTGTCAAATTTATTTGTTAGAGTTATTACTTTATCTAAAAGATTATACAAGAAAAATACCATAAGAAATTATTCTCCCTTTTTTAAATTATAACTTTAATCCTCCACTTATGAGGCTGCCCCAAATAGCTGCTCAGCTTTGAGCTAGGTGGGAAATTTTCCTTCTTGCCAGAAAAAAACAGATGTTCCTGCTGTGATCAGGGATTTTCCTTATCATCTAAATGTACTGCCACAGCATCAGGTGTCAAAAAGCCACTCCGGCTGGGAAATGCATATTAATTTGCTGCTCCCTGGTAGTGGTATCCCGGCTATGGAGAAAATCTCTTTCAGGGTAGGGAAAGTAAGTGTCTTCTTCCACCTCAGCCCTCCCCAAGCTTATTACAATTCAGTAAAATCATGTAGAACCCACCCAATGCCTTGAGATAGAGGCTCATTCCCGGCATACTAAGCTGCAACTCCAAGGCTTTATCTCCCAGAAACAGCTATTTAGCTGATGGTCAGATTTCTTGGCAAGACTATATCCCTATGTTGCAGAAGTCAGAACTGGGCTTTCATGAACATTACAGAAGTAATAAACATTTCTATGTTGGCATAGGAAACCCAACTATGTTTCTACTTCACTTCAGTGCAAAAATTTCAATTTTTTTAAAGAATTATGAGAAATCATACCATATTTTGAAATACAAAATACTCAATACATATACATTTCATTCAGAACCTCTATGTATCATATGGTTTCAAATATGCCCGTGAGATGTTAAGATTTTACATTTCACATTTTTCAACACTGTAATTACAGTAAAAGAAAATCCAATGTTTTACTTAATTATTTCTCCAGGAAACGATACACAAAAAACGAAGGGAACTATTTTCAGGATATCTAATCTGAAATTAGGAGACTG